CAGGCTGGGGACAGAGGGGCCGATGGGCTGGGCTGGGCTGGGGACGGAGGGGCCGACGGGCCGGGCTGGGCTGGGGACGGAGGGGCCCATGGGCTGGGCTGGGCTGGGCTGGGCTGGGGACGGAGCGGCCGAGGGGCCGGGCTGGGGAACGGAGGGGCCAACAGGCCAGGCTGGGCCGGGAGGGGCTGATGGGCCAGGCTGGGCCAGGAACCTGCTCCTTGAGATGGACAGACAGATAGGGCTCAGCCAGGCACCCACAGATAGGGGCACCTGGTCCCTGGAGAGTTGGGACAGACAGGCTGTTTCCGTCTAGCGCTGGTTCAGCTCCCCTGGGGGGCGCGCACCCGTGTCTGCCCCATGCTGCTGCCTGCAGTGTTAACCTAGGGCAGGTACGAGAGCATGCGACACACGGACAGTCCCTGGGCCTGGGTCCTGGCCGTCCAGCTGGCCCAAGGGAGTCAACCTGGACATATGCACAGCCAGAGCTGCCCCAACCTCAGGCCTGAATTTTGGCCCCGAGACTCAGGGTACATCAACCCTGCAAACAAAGAACCACGGGGCTCCCGCTCTGGAGCTAACACCAGCAGTGTCGCTGCTCCTGCTCGGCCTCCGTAACCCAGTGAGGGGGGCTCGGAGCCCGGGCTCCAGGCCAAGCAGGAACGGCTACACTGCTGGGGCCCCGGGTGCCCAGGCCAGTCGACCTGGCCTCAGACTCACCCTCGCAGGGTTTTCGCAGTTTAGGCAAGCGCTAAGGTGCTGCACCCATCAGCCCGCCGGCCTGGTCCCAGCTCCCTGCTGGTGCCTCCAGGAGCACGTTGGGTGCTGGATAGGCGCACTGTGACCCTCAGCGCCAGCAGCCGGCTGGCTCTGCCCTAGCGGGGAGAGGGGCCCCTCAGCTGAGCCATGGGGCAGCCCTGGAGTGGGAGCTTGGGGGGGGAGTGCCTGCTACAGGGGGCCGCCTTTAACCTGCGTTTGGCTCTCTTGGAGGAATGGGCCGGAGTCTCCAAGGACGTCGTGGAGAGCTTTAAACCCAACTACAGCGAGAGCTTCTGCTACGTCAGCGAGCTACCCCCCAAGGAGGGCAGCACGCCGCTCTGGGAGGGCCGTGACAAGCCGAGAGCCCCCTCGGGGCGCTCCTCAGCACCAGCCTCCAGCAGCAACCCTGGGCTGATCCTCTCCAAAAACAGCTACGTGGGAGTGTGACATTACCAGCAGGAGTCGGGATTGTCTGCTTCTATCGCCTCTCCTCACACTGCACCCCCACTCTCTGTGCCCCGCCCCAATGCCTCCCCATCCACCCCAGTCCCCTCCCCATCCTCACACATGTACCCCTCCCCCATCCTCACACGTACCCCTCCCCCATCCACCCCAGCACCCTTCGCCCCCT